TGTGGAGTTCTGTAAAACCACCATCTGCTATGTTGAACATGAACTTCTGTTTGGCTTCCTCTTTCTTGAATTCTTCTTCTTTTTCATCAGACTTTTTAGCCTCTTCTTCCTTTGACGACTTCTTTGTTGTTCCATCAGAATCCTTCTCTTCTTTGACTTTAGCATCTGAAATCAAACAAACAAAACTTATTTTTGTTTAATGTTAGTAGAAAGATCATGCATTCATTTTACTTTGTTTCATTCTATTACATGCTATATCTTTAAAATGTCTAATTATACATTGCTTGGCATTTCACATTGTGGCACATGATCATCTTTCACATATACTACATATAATATTACTTACTATACACAATAATTCTGGTGCTGCAGCTTTTTCTTTTTCTGTTGTAGTCTTACTCTTTTTCATGTTAATTAGAAAACCTACCATCTTTCTTCTCATCTTTCTCTCCCTCGGCCTCCTCTTTCTTTAATTCTTTCTTTTCTTCAAGAGAATCAGTCTTTTGTTCTTCTTTCTCATCTGGAAGAAAGAAAAACCCACATGAGGAAAAGTCTAAATTCTTTAGATTACACAAAATATTAGTATAAACATACAAATTCAATTAACAATTGTTAAAAGCCATACACTTTATCGGGCAGAGCCACAGTGTAAACCAGTTTCATGTGCTCTAACAATGCTGACCACTACAAGCAAAATCAGTTCATTTTCAAAGGCAGTATACATACAACACTCACACCTGTCATCTAGTCTTATCAATCTCTAATCCTATATGAGGTTGACTCAAAATACCTTTGACATCCTCTTCCTTACTTTCCTCCTTCACACCAGCTTTGCTCTCTTCACTGTCTTTAGATTCTTCTGTTGCTTGGGTGGGTTTTTCATCTGTTTCTAATTTTTACAAAGAATAACCATTTTTAATGACAGAAAAGATGACGCTTACTTTCTGCAATCAAAGAGAAAAATTACGTAAATTGTCAAAATCTGCTTTCCTAAAGTAAATCATATTTATCTGGTGGTTAACCAATGCCTTTGTGTTGATTTAAAAAAAAAGCTGAACTGTTTAATATTTGGGACTTGGTTCACTTGGTGTAAAATGCACATGCAAACCATGCATTGGATATACACTGAGAGACACAATTCTACCCAATGTTTAAGAAAGTACTGTAATGCTGTGAATTGGTATCAGTGTGTGTCATTCATCCCACACTTACCTTTCTTTTCTTCTTTAACTTCATCAGTCTCCATCTTTACCTCCTGGGCCGCGTCTTTACTGTCTTCCTTTTCTGATGGCTCATTTCCTTTCTGATCCGTTTCCATGGCTTCCTCTGTCATTTCTTTCCCTTCATCCTTGTCCTAAAGATATTGCAAAGTAAGAACCAATAAGCCATTTAACAGTTACCAGTAATTATTATGTCTCAGTTACTTGGGTAAAAGGTTGGTAGACATAAAAGGTTGGTAACTGTAAAGAGACTTCCTACATCAAACAGATTAGTCTCACCACAGTGCTGTAACCACCCACCTTCTTGTCTCCACTGCCTTCTTTGTCCTCTTCTGTTTTCTCTTCCTTTATTTCCTTCTGGTCCTCCTTCGTCTCTCCCTTCTCCTCTGTCTTTTCTTCCTTGGTAGATGGCGCTGGTGAAGGTACAGCTGACGATGACCTACTTTTGCTGAACTTTTCTATACACTCTGAGGCAGTTTTGTAAGGCATGCTCTCTGTGCCATTTATTGCTTCAAACTCTTGAACCTAAAAGAGGTCAAAGTACCATATAACCATGCAGTCTGGGGCAAATGAATTAATATTATATTTCACATCCTATTGCTCTTCCTTAAAAGCTATAAAACACCTGCTTTTTCTTGTCATTATCCACCTACACACACACGCGCGCATGCACACACACACACACACACACACACACACACACACACACACACACACACACACACACACACACACACACACACACACACACACACACACACCAGGATAATATATAACCTATATAAAACAATATAAGAACCATATCTGAAAACAAGTTTTTACGCAAAACTTTCAAAAGGGTCCTGAAATTCCTACCTTCTTCCTCACAAGTGACATGATACCAATGCGCGTCAGCACGTGTTGCCTGGACAAACCCTCTCGTGGAACACCATCTGCAAATGTGTCCGCGTTGTCAGCACCAGGTTCACACAGGTGGCGCATGAACAGCGAGACGTACGCCTTGAACACTTTCTCTGACTTTCCTCTTAGGTCTCGCACAAGCCTACAGTAAGAAGGAAAAGAACAGATATCACATACAAGCCAACAGTATAGGCAGAATGACCCTCTCAGCTGGGGCACTCAGTATAGGCAGAATGACCCTCTCAGCTGGGCCACTCAGTATAGGCAGAATGACCCTCTCAGCTGGGGCACTCAACTTCCAAACTTTGTTTTAGCAGCTTTTCCAAAAGACATGTCAAACTTATCAAGTGGTAATAATAATCTCTGCTTCATTGTTACAGTCTGCTGAACATATCTGTACTGTCAGTGCATGGGTGTGTCAGTCCAAATGACAAAATAGCTTTCTTATTATACTTACCTTCTTTACTTATGCTTAGATCTGATATACAAGCAAGAATATTGACTGACATGTAATCTAAATATAAAATTATTTTCATACACACACACACACACAAACAAAAAATGTTCTAAATATTATATTTATATCTATTATGGAGATTTCTACTTCAGTGAAGCAGCAATAAATACTTACCAGTGTGAATTAAAGGCATCTTGAGGAGGCATACCCCACCGCATCACCGCATTCAAGAAAGCCTTCCTCTGCCTGGCGTTGAAACCAAGCACCTCAATCTGACCGTTAACACGGGCCAGCAATGGCGGCAGAGGGCGATCCTTCTCTGGAACGCCACCACGTCTACGTCCTCCTCTGCCTAGTTCAGATTTTTCTTCAAAATCATCATCTTCATCATCACCATCTGGAGAAAAGTTAAAGATGGAAAATATTAAGTTTGATTCCTTTTTTAAGTTGCTTTCATGTTGCTTTTTTTTCCTTTGAATGACAGTAGCAAATTCAAAAAACTATTTTCATTTAAAATTGTAAAATTTAATTTCACTAACCATCATGCAGAAGTTAATAACCAACATCTGCATTGAGATCGAGTCTTTATCACTCATCAACCCTTTTATGATGTGCCACAAAATTTCACTTAATCACTACAGCTAAATCTGATCAGTTATAAGTTGATTTCTCAGATTCTGTTATAGCTTAGCTTAGTTAAGCACACAGAAATAACATGTGCATCCACTCTGAATCCTGTTTCACAAAAATGTCATGTCAGATTTTGACTACTGTGAATTACCCAAGTTGTCTTCCAAAAGGGATGCTTTCCCAAGTTTTGTCTAAAAAGTTACCTAATAGCCTGGAGTTTAGCCTGCTCATAGTCAGGGCTAACTACCAACCAAGACAACTAACATGGTGTAATTGAGAGAATTTTTTAAATTCTCAAATTGCATAGAAATACCTTCACACTCTGTTACAATCTTACTCAGTGTCACAAAATTATCAGAAAACAAAACATGACATCTTTTTATTTGTATTCATTCACTGACTGCTAGGTGTTCCATGAAAGCATTCTAAGAAATACTCATATTTTGATTACTGCTTTGATACAGAATTGTAATGTATCAAATTTAACAAAAAAATCTGAAACAAAAAAGTTATGTTTTGTTTCATAGTTAATCATGAACAGGCAACCTGTGGACCATGTATGGACCATATGACACTGATTTCCTCAGTCTTTTTAAAAGTTCCTTCAGCTGGTCAGATTAGACTGCTATCAATCATTGGTTTAATTGTAGTAGGCTAAAATCTAGATACTGGACTTACATAACCAAATTTATGCAGACTTTGGTTTGTCAGTGATATCAGTTCAGAAAGCCTAAGGCCTTTTTTGTGAAACAAGAGTAAGCAACTATAAAGTAGACAACTATAAGTTATAACACAGAATTCACAGTTCAGCATGACAACTATAAATCATAGCACAGTGCACATCCTGGTGCTTTCATTACAACACAACACTGGTGACTTCAATTAATTTGTTATAGTGAACCAACTTTTCCTGTTATCTTTTGTTACTAACTAAACAGAAAGTTGCACAGGACTTCTGTTCAAGCGACATTATTGAAGTACAACAAGGAATAGAAACCATCACAGGATGAGTTCAAATAACAGTCATTTCTCACTTATTTTAGATTAGTTGTTTTTCAAAATTTGTTGCACATTTCAAAACAAGTTTGCTAAAAATCCAAACTTTATACTGATTACAAAATCTTTAAAGAATAAGATGTTTAGAAATTAAAAGCAGTTTTCAAAATTTGTGAGCAATAACTGTCTACATTACCAATCTCTTGATGAGTTAGTCCACCACACAGTCTTCACAATTTGGAGGCCAGAAAATAAGAGAACACTTACTACCTGTCTGGTCGAAATCGGAGTCAAAGTCGGACATGTTTTCATCCCAGTTGTCCTCATTGGTACCACCCATGGCGTCGTTGTAATTCACCTGCTTGCGCACGCGTTTGCCCTTCCCCAGTGTGCGCGCCAGGTCCTCCTGCTGCTGCTCATAGTGATGGCGCAGCAGCTTCTCCCAGTATGCGGGATCTGCATGCTCCACTTCCTGCTTCAAGATTTCTTTTTCTTCTTCCTCCTGTAAAAAATATAAACAGTTTATTACATAGCATACACAACTAAAACCTGACTTTGTAGCAAATATACAGACATCATTTACACAGAGAGGTGTGAATATTAAGATCCACATAGTCAACAGAGATTTCTATCACAATGTTCAGCTCACATCATTGCAACACGAATATTTCTATCAGAAAATGTTTCTAACAATTATCATATGAAAGGAACACTATCAAAAATAATCCTCATTTCAAAGGGTTCCATTTTTTGCCTACTAAAGATGAAAAATATTTCTGTATCAATCATACCTCACCTTACAACAAGAAATCACATAATGGCATGACACTCATATTGAAACTTATATTACCAGATACCAGTGATTTCACTGTCACAGCCTGGCAATGTCACAGACACTGCTCAGTGTCCAGACAGACCACCCACCTCTTCCTCCTCCTCCTTGAAGGCATAGCTGGCCACCTTGAAGGAAGTGAAGTATTCATTCATAGCCATCTCCTTCTCCTCCTGCCCCTGCTGTGTCCTGTCCAGCAGCTCCTTGACTGCTGCGTCATCGTACACTATCCTGCTTTCATTGGCCTGACTGCTATCCTCTGAACACACACACACACAGACACCAACATTAGGACATGTTATGTCTATGACTTTTATTTTACTGATGTTCTCTATTTGTGATATAAAAGATTAAAATGAAATATGACTGTTTAGAATGCCTGCCTGAATTTGATTCTGTAAAAAGTGATTTAGGCCTTGAATACCTGCCTTAAATACCTGGCAATCTAAAAAATAACATGCCTTGGCCAATCCCTAATTTTACAATTTTATCATTCATCCTCCAATAATAAATAAAAGAAAAATTCACCAGTTTTAAATTCATCCTTGAACAGTTCCTCTGTGCCAAACTTGAGGATGTCATCCACCTCCTGTTTGGACATGGAGCCTCCTTTCCCTCCCAGGCCTGGCCTGACCACCAGGTGGGTTAACATCATCTTCTTCTTGGCCACCTGTGTAATTCTCTCTTCCACTGAGGCTCGCGTCACAAAGCGATAGATCATCACCTTATTGGCCTGGCCTATACGATGTGCTCTGCTGAATGCCTGCAAATGGACAGCAAAGTCAGAAGAAGGGTGCCGACATGTCACTCTGTAAATTACTATGGGTGTCCACTTATCAAGCCTTTTTTCAAATGGACACAATCAAATATAATTGAAATGATACATGGTACATAGCATTTATAAAGGATAACTTTGAAACAAGAGAGCATTTGTATATAAACATTTAATTAAACTACATCTCATTTTCAGAAGACAAAGGTTTATCAATTGCAGATCCAGGGGACCAGCACATTTCTGATATACAGAAATATTTATCAATTCTACTTCTAAAAGGGGAAGACACTTTTAACAGAAAACAGAGCCAAATTCATATAATACTTCAATATTTACTGACAACATCAGAGTACATGCCAGACTCTACCTGTATATCATTGTGAGGGTTCCAGTTAATGTCATATCATATTATATCATATTATATCATATTATATATAGTTTACTAACAACATCAGAGTACATGTCATATCCTACCTGTATATCATTGTGAGGGTTCCAGTCACTGTCATAGATGATAACAGTGTCTGCTGTAGCCAGGTTAATTCCCAGACCACCTGCCCTGGTAGACAGCAGAAATACCATGGAGGGAGAACCATTCACTGAATTGAAACAGAACATTATCTTATACTTTGTCTGTAGCATTATTACTCTTCAGTAGATGACTGAATTACACAGTTAGTAAGAAAAGTGACAGAGAGACCCAGTCACTGAAAATGAAGAGATTTCTTAATCAAAAACTATGTCAGGGAGGAGAACATATAATGTAGAAGAGGACATTTATTCCCATCCCTTGTTTCTGAACAATCTATATCAAACCCAGCAACTTTCTTTTCATATTATTTTTTTAAAATTCTCCAGAAGGGAAAAAATATAATTGCTGCATTTCTTAAACTACTTATTTTTAAAACTACACGCTTTGTCAAACTCTAAATACAAGACAACCAATTTTTTATTGTATATAAAAAACAAAGATCATGATCATGAGCGAAATAAAATACATGAACATATCAATAATGATCCGCGCAATGAACATGACACAAACAGCACTACTGCACGTGCTGAATTTTCCTTTTGACTGTGCAACTCATGGAAACTTTACGTAGGAGCCAGAGATAAGGAGACTGATTTCATTACAGTGTTATAAACATAAGAAAAGAGAATAAGGTGTCAGGTGACACCACTACCAACACCTAGTGCTGAGAAACAAACTTTCCTTGTTATAAAACAATTGCCAACTTGTCACAGACTAAATTTTAGTAGAAAAAGAGATTTGAAAGCATGTACACGTGAACATGTGCCTATGAAAAACTGTGTCCATCAAGTGTTGTAACATTCTCATAAACTTACTAGTAGCTAGAAAATCTCAGGGTTAAACAGGTGACAAGATATAACTGTCACACCCACCTCCCCAGCTGACAGGTAAAGACTAGAGGATCAGAGAGGCGATACCGCCTCCTGATATAGTACCACCAGCTGGAGCAAGCGCATTCACATGGACTCCGCCCCCCCCAAAAAAGAGACACCACCACCAGTCTTATGCTTGACAAGCTCTATAAAATGCAATCAACAAGAATTCTCAAAATATGCAAAAAAATATAACCAAAAATGGTTCAATCAAAATTCAGTTCATCATAAAAAGTAGGTCAAAGGTCAATTTTAAAGTCACACTTAATTGCCAGTATATGACTTCCTATTCAAGTTCAATAGTTACTATGGACCTATCTCTGCCAGTTTTGGAGATAAAAGGAAACCAAATTTTACAAAGTTCAATTCATGATGAAAAGTAGGTCAAAGGTCAATTTCAAGGTCACACTTAGATTGCCAGTATATGACTTCCTATTCAAGTTCAATAGTAACTATGGACCAATCTCTGCTAGTTTTGGAGATAAAAGGGAACAAAAATTTGCAAAGTTCAGTTCATGGTGAAAAGTAGGTTATAGGTCTATTTTAAAGCAATAATAACTCTTTGTTTCGGCCAAAAAATGAATTTTCCTGGAGTAAACAACAATTTTCCCATACTTACCAATGGTTAATGAATCCATTTTTACATTCAAAGTTAGTCCCTGGTTTTTTTCTAAAAAGTTTGGTTTTTTGTTAAAATCTCTTAAGAGATTTTAACAGAGTATAGCCATCAATGGAGGTCACGTGGTCTAAAGACAAGTTCAGATATCAGAATAAAAGCTATAACTGCTGTTTTTGTGGTAAAACAGAATAAATTATATTTCTATGAGTTATTCACAAGGTTTTTATTGTGAAATATAGATCTCATACGAAGAGTTATTATCCCTTTAAGGTCACACTAAATTGCCTCTAATGACTTTCTATTCAAATTCAATAGTAACTATGGGCGTATCTTTGCCAGTTTTGAAAGTATAAGCATTAAAAAAGTTCAGTTTAAGGTGTAAAATAGGTCAAAAGTCAATTTCAAGATCAGAGTAAGATTACCAGTATATAACTTCCTATTCAACTTCAATACTAACTATGGACCTATCTCTGCCAGGTATGGAGTTAAAAGGGAAATAAATTAGCAGAGTTCAGTTCATGGTAAAAAGTAGGTCAAAGGTCAATTTCAAGGTCACACTTAGATTGCCAGTATATGACTTCCTATTCAACTTTAATAGTAACTATTGACGTTTCTCTGCCAGTTTTGGAGATAAAAGGGAACAAAAATTTGCAAAGTTCAGTTCATGGTTAAAAGTAGGTCAAAGGTCAATTTCAAGGTCACATTTAGATTGCCAGTAAATGACTTCCTATTCAACTTAAGCTATAACTATGGACCTATCTCTGCCAGTTTTGGAGATATAAGGGACTATATGTTACAATTCTGAGTTACAATAATGTGCCACCACAATGTACTTTTTAATACAGCATAACACGAAAACTGTATGAAATACAAAAAAATGGAGACCACATCCAATGTTGGGCTTTACATGCTCTACAAAATGCAAAAAAGAATGGGTCTCTAGCATTAACAGTTTCCGAATTAGAGACAGTTTTCAGTTTCGGTATCTTATGGCTGCTAATCCCGTGAAAATGTACTGATTGACCCCAAATTCACGGAGATGAAAGATGACCCAAAGTGTAACACTTTACAATAATATTATTGGTTAAGTCTGTGTAGTGTCTGAATAACAGCGCAAATAATTTTTTTTTTGTAAAAAATTTGTTTGTTTTTTTAAGTTTTGGCCCCTTTGACCTTGGAATAAAGGTCAAAGGTCAAATCCAAGGGCATATTTGTAATCTACACATATGACTTTTGGAAAGCCGTCTGTAGAAATTTTTCCCATAATTCCTTCCGTAGGGTAGATAATTGGTATTGAATTTTCAAAAATTTTGACAAGGGTGCATTTCAACAAGCGTCACGCCCAGGTCAATGCACCGACTGAGACAAAAAAACCTGGGTGTTCAAGTTGAGGTTATATGTGACCTAAATCCAAGAGATGGGGACAGGGGTCCTTGTGGTCTAGGAGGAGAAGCGGTAACGGTGACTTGTATCCGGCGCCAGTACATGGAGCCGGCGGAGCTCACGGAGCCGGACGAGACGGGTCGGGACTAAAACCATGAGTACCGCCAGTGTACACGCTGGTGGTACTAATAATACCACTGAGCAGTGGTCTATTGATTACAGTAGTTTGCTCCTGACCTGTGAAAGTTTCTGAAACTTAGCATAGTTAATGGAAGTTGTTAACAGTATATTATATGCCTGTCCATTGAGATGCCTTGTCTCCACAGGGGACACCTTGCAGAGCCAGAGTGCGTAATTCAGGCTGTAACTATGCATATCCTTGTCCCCTAAAGCTATTGCCATAATGAAAATCCCCAGTAACCTAAAGTTGCCGAGATGTACTCACTGTTAAACCTGTCAATGGCGTCCTGTCTCAGTGTTCCTGTCACACCGCCATCAATCCTCTCGTACTTATAACCCTCACACTCCAGGAAGTCTTCCAGGATGTCCAGCATTTTGGTCATCTACAAACAGATACTATTTCTTTAAAATGTTATGTACTTCACCTGAGTGAAAGAAATAATTGTAATCTATTTTTCATTAAATGGGTTCAAGTCTCTCAGTTAAAAAAAAACCTAAGCTTGGAGAAAAAAGGCATTTACAGGACTTTGCTTTATTCAATTGCATCAAATAGATATATTATTCTTTTGTTTTCTATCTTATTTTTTTTTTCTGCTTCTATATACATTCTTTGTATATAATTAATCTATTTCCCATTTGATGTACTCTAAAGGAGAGCTTATAATGTATTGCAAATGGCCTCCTCCTCTTTCTGAATAAACTGAGGCAATATAAGAGAACAATATAAACTATATGTGTAGTGTGTCTCTAGTAGAGATGATACAATGAACACTAGGCAGTCACCTGAGAGAAGATCAGCACTCTGTGGCCCTCTTCCTTCAGGATGTTCAACATCTTAGACAACAGCTCCAGTTTCCCACAAGCTTTGATCAGAGCACTGCCCTCAAACATCCCATTGGGCAGCTTGGGTGCTTCCTGAAACAATAGGCTAGCAACTTGACTTTTATCATTTAAACCACATTGCGAGGAAGATATATGTGATTTTCTGGTCAAATTCAAACTTAAATGTACTGATCTCTATACAGTCATAGAGTTGGTGTATTTCCCCCTGTTTACACAATCATCTCACATAAACTTTACTATATATACATGGAAAAATTACTTATTATGAACTAAGTATCACAGTATAAAATGGTATTTATCAATTCTGTTAAAAATCAGTGAGAAGTGAGTGTGGTGCTCCTTACATCAGCCGCAGTGGGGAACAGGTAAGGATGATTACAGCACTTCTTCAGGTCCATCATGATGTTCAGGAGGGACACGTTATTACCTCCACGGGCATTCAGAGCTTCAAAATTCCTTGTCAATATGTACTTGTAATATTTCCTGAAAGAGAGGAAAAACAACCTCTAATAACTTTACTTATAAATAACTGTACTGTTACTGTTTACAACTATATCTAAAACCAACATATTATCTAATTTTTAACCTTAACATTAGTGTTCCACTAATGCTAAAAATACCAACTGGTAATCAATGTTTAATGATCTATCATAGGATCTGGCACCTCATATACTGGGTTTTCATGACTTGGACACCTCAGTTTACCTTTGTTGATGCAAGGGGCTCTTATACTTGCCAAAACTTAGTCCATAACACATTCCAAAACCAAAACAGGTGTGAAATTATGTTGATTTTTTTGCATGGATTCCAAGTTAGTTTGATGAACAGTAGCTATACAAGTTTTCAAACTGCTATGAAAGCAACAAACAGGAACTTCAGGATATTTGGTTAAGATCACAGAGATGTGGTCTACTTACTTCTGCATGGGGCTGAGCTCCACTCTGACAATGAACTCACTCTTGGATGGTATTCCCTTCAGGACATCTGCCTTCAGTCGCCGCAGTAAGTGTGGGCCCAGCATGTCATGTAACTTCTTCACCTGCTCCTCCTTCCCTATGTCTGCAAACTCATCCAGGAACACCTGCAGATTCCTGAAATATGGAAGGTGATAGACATTAATACCTGGGAGTACAGTGTGTAATTTGCTCCCAAGGCTTTCAACCTCTGAGAACCTGCTCTGATGTGACTGCTCTCTAGAATAATCACAAATTGCCAGTGCTAAGCTTAAAAAACTGCTTCTGTCATATTCTTGTAGCTAGACTGACACAAAACTGCTAGGGATTCTTCTTGCACAACCCTTCTTTCAGCATAAATAAAGAGTGGCAATGCATTACACCAATTTGATGGATATAATTAAAGGTACTGTAAGGGTTAATTACAATCCAGAAACCAAAATTGAGTTTTTTCCTGTATCTAATTATTCATTAATTCATCTACATTTGTGATGATTAAAAGAATAAAAACGACCTAAAAATATAAAATATCAGCGTATATATTTCTCGTTGCTGTCTCATTAATAAAGGCAATGAAAATACACAGGTATAAACTTAATAGCACACACTACCTGAAGTCATCTGGAGACATAAAGTTGAGCAGGTGGAACAGTTCCTCCAGGTTGTTCTGGAGTGGAGTACCAGTCAACAGCAACTTGTAGCCAATCTTGTACGCACTGAGCACCTTGAAGAACTGGAACCAACACAAAGCCAGTCAGCTACACATTATCACAAAACCTAAGTCTATTTGAAAATACCCAACGTCTTCCCTCTATCATTTCAACCACTACCCATCCTAGATGGCTCCCATTACAATTACATTACTTCAGATAATCAGTCTAACAGTATGTCCTGTATGCAAGCTACAATACTTTGACTTAACCAGTAACACCACCTACTTTTGATTGGTTGTTTTTCAGCCTATGAGCTTCGTCCACCACCAACACTCCCCAGTCCACAGAGCCCAGAGTCGCCTGGTCAATGCTGATCAACTCATAGGAGGTCAATAGGACATGGAATTTAACAGGGCACTCTTTGCGCATCTTTGATGCCTTTGTGCCACCACGGATTGCACCCTCCTCGAAAGAAAACTCATGCTCTCTGAAATTGCATAGAAATCATGAATATATGCAGTAGAAATCATCCCTTAAATGTCTTTAATGTTAATTTCTTAATATCTTCAAGCAGTGACTCCAAAAAGTGTTGGACCCCTGTGGAAATCCAGTAAATTATTAAAATTTTTCCAAAATTGAAAGCCAAATGAAGCACTACTAAACAACAGCATTTAATCCCAATGAACATGACATGAACTGTTACCTTATAACATGAACTAGTTACCTTATAACATGAACTGGTTACCTTATAACATGAACTGGTTACCTTATAACATGAACTGTTACCTTATAACATGAACTGGTTACCCTATGACATGAACTAGTTACCTTATAACAGCGCGGCTGTCTTTGTCCCCCACATATGTGACCACATAGAAATCTGGCGCCCAGAACTCAAACTCTCGCTCCCAGTTGATGATAGTGGACAGAGGAGCACTGACAAGAAACGGTCCCTTCGAGTGACCCTGAAAATGCAGGTCAAGGTCAGTAGGTGATGGACAAGGTGGTAAAAAGTTTATCTCAACTTCAAAGTGAGCTTCTGTGTAAATATCTCAGTGTTATCTTTAAACTTGTACATATTTGTTTCCCTGACAGAGGCAAAAAAGTGAAATAAATTAGCCACCTTTGGTTTATGCTACCTACCTCTTTATACAATGAATACAAAAACACAATAGTCTGTATAGTCTTGCCCAGTCCCATCTCGTCAGCTAAGATGGTGTGGATACCATGACACCAGGAGTAGCGCAGCCAGTTTAATCCCTCCAGCTGATAGGGATGCAGGGTGCCACCAGTGATGTCAATATAGTCCGGCTGCTGGTCCAACTTCCTCTTCAGCTGCAAAGAAAGGAGGGGTAATTCATGCTGCTTTGTTTACCTGTTCTGTTTGAAATAAAGGTAGTACATAAGTTTCTACAGCCAATATATAAAGATTATGTAATACAGTGTGACATCCCCCCTCCCAAAAAAATTTTACTGAGAAAAAAATTCATTTTGCACATAACTGCTAGATGGCAGCACTTACATCTACCACAGGGACCTCTGGTGGCAGTTTAAACATCTGTTTACTTGCTTCTTCCTCTGTCTCCTCTTCATCTTCTCTATCTTTTCCTTTCCCTTTGCCTTTCCCCTTCTTTCCTTTCCCTCCTTTCTTCCCTCCTTTTGCTGATCCTGTCTGACCTAGCATCATGGATCTTCAAATAAAAGAGTCCACAATAAAACATTAGTTATCAAACATTATGAACTGAGTACATTCCTACAACCACTGCCACTAAGACAACACCGTTTCCATTTCATAATTCCTGATGACCAATAATCAAATTTTTCAAAAAAGTGTTGTCAAACTTATATTAATGCACTGGCTTACCTTGTAGCTACACATAACCTTGTTTTGGATTTTAATCTGTGCACACAATACAATATCTCAGCCTGCTAAAATCAGGTAGCCAACTAGATAAAGTCAACTTTAGGTCAAGCAAGGTTCTGAGAGGACGTGTGTACATTGTTGCCAGGACAATCAACTGTGGCTCAAGGGGCTTACTTCAACCAAATATTTCAGGTCTGCAGCCATTTATATTCCTGGTAATATTTCAGCAGTCTGTCCTTATTAAATGAGACTGCCATTGGGTGAAAATGTCTGAAAATATGGCATGGAGTCAGACCTCCCCCCTCCCACACACAAAACCTTGCAGATCTGGGCTCTATAACTCAAAAGCATTGCAAATTGCGACCACACTCAAACATGTCAATATTGCCTAACTGGAAGAAAATGCAATGTGTGATGGAGCGCTAACAGCAATATCACGGCATGTTTCCAGGCTGTTATTTGAGACTAGTAAATCCTGTTGTAATTGTCTTTGCGTTTGCATAATTTGTCATTATACAGTGTCAATAATATGATTAAATATTGTGGAAAATTTTGGTTACTAATCATAATAGCAATAAAAAAGCATGGAAGATTATAAAACATTGAGACACTCAGAACCTCTCACAGAAAAAGCTTGTGGCAAATTTCATGTGAAAAAAGATGCATATATAGAATATTATTTCATGAAAGACTAAAAAAAATTACTGATGAACATTTTACAAGCGTTTTACTAAGCACAAAAATTTCACAATTGGTCACACTGCGACCTTCCTCAGAGTGTATTATTATGAGACTGAGCACTACTCACTAATGTATCAGTACTTATAGTATCAATCCATAATAACATGTGCACTTCCCTTATTGAATTGTTTTTCACATTTTATTGGTGTCAAACACTTCAAACAGTAGTATTTGTAATTGTGATATTCCTATAAATTAAAATTATCTCTTGATTAGCTACAAATCTGTCAGCAAACAAAAGCGCCCAGCAATAATTTTGCCCAGACAGATAACTACTGTAGTGACATTTATGCCAGAAATTTTTTCACAAAAGGAGGAGGCAACAGAGCTAAAATCTCCAGATCCTACATCCCTCCAGATGTACAGTAAGCTACAGGGCTGAAATCTCCAGATCCTACATCCCTCCAGATGTTCAGTAAGCTACAGGGCTGAAATCTCCAGATCCTACATCCCTCCAGATGTACAGTAAGTTAAAGGGCTGAAATCTCCAGATCCTACATCCCTCCAGATGTACAGTAAGTTAAAGGGCTGAAATCTCCAGATCCTACATCCCTCCAGATGTACAGTAAGCTA